TTCGGGTTAGGGCTTAGGGCTTCAAGGGTTTAGGGTTTAGGGTTTAGGGTTTAGGGTTTAGGGTTTAGGGTTTAGGGTTTAGGGTTTAGGGTTTAGGGTTTAGGGTTTAGGGTTTAGGGTATTAGGCACTAGGTCTCAGGCATCAGCACAGAGCCAACTTGTACTGCAGCCTTGGCCTAGGAAGCTGGGAAACCGCTGCGAGCTGAGGCTGCGGCTGCTACCTGAGCATTAAACAGATCGCCTACTCTTCGGGAAGAAATACTTACTTGTCCAGTATCCTAAACCCTATGAACCCTAAACCCTTAACCTTTGGGATTAGGTAGGACAACAATACCTCCGAAAAGGCTAAAGGTTACCCACTCTACTACTAGGAATGGCAGAAGCTTTGCGGCTCATTCTGCTGAATAGTCTTATTACTCAGACCTCTGTATTACTCTACGCAGCCACCTCGTTTGCAGCTTGGGATTTAGCGATTGAGGTTTCGAGTTCAGTGCAGGTTCAGGGCTGCAAGCTCGAGATTTAGCTCATTGGGCTACAAGCTAAAGGGCGATCATCGAAGTGCTCTTAAACTCATCTTCTTGCTATTTCGACACGGCTCAAACCCTAAACACTAAAACCTTAACGCCAAACCTTAAACCCAAGACCCCCTGAACCCTAAACCCTAAACCCTAAACCCTAAACCCTAAACCCTAAACCCTTAACCCTAAACCGACGGTTTGGGGCTCTGGGTTCGGGGCAGTATTTGGGATCTTCGGACACAGGTGCTCTAAAGGGATGAGGGGTTTGTTCAAGGGCAAAAAGCTTCAAAGGTTTAGGGCTTAGGGCTTCAAGGGTTTAGGGTTTAGGGTTTAGGGTTTAGGGTTTAGGGTTTAGGGTTTACAAGGCTTCAGCGGTTTAGGGTGAGGGTTTAATTGCGCACTAATGGTGTAGTGTTTGTAAGGACTTAATCTGTTGTGAGGGTTGATGCCAAGGCGACTTGTCTCAAGGCAAAATCCAAATGCTAAACTCGCAAACTTGTGGGTTTAGGGTATAGGCTTTGCGGCAACCGTGACACAAAGAGGACAAGTTCCAAGTTCCAGACATCCACAAGGCACTTCGCTATCAAAACCCTAACCCCCGCAGGTACCCACTATATAGGGTACCAGAGCCCGCAGGGCCCTATATAGTAGGTACCTGGGGGGTTAGGGAAAATACAGCATATCAAACACCTTCTTTGACACAAGTTGGCCGCTGCAACGCCGAAACCTGGCCGCTGGGACGGGCCTTAACCACAACGCAACGGCATCCTCAACGTTACCCCTACGCTCTTCTTCTTTAGGGTGTGTATAGTAGGGTATAGGGTTGAGGGTTAGGGTATAAACCCCGAGCCCCGAACCCCAAACCGGAAGAAGCATTCGCGAAGCGGAAGCCTCTTATGCGAAGTCCCCTTCATTGGCAGGTGACAGGCTGCAACGACGGCGAACGTCTAGGAGTCGAGATGTACCTCCAGCTTCTGATATGGATTTGCTGGCTTCGGCTTTACATCCTGCAGAGCAACCTCAAAACTGCGCAACCCAAACACAGAGCCTGCGCATCCTCTCCTCTCAAGGCCAGGCTGTGCTAGTTTGAGGCACCAACCCGAGTGCCCCAGTGAAGTTAGGAAGGACTGGAATCCGAAGTCGTAAGGTTTCCCTTACAGAGCCCTATATTGTATCCCCAAACCCTAAATCCTTAAACTTAAGCCCCAAACCCTGAACCCTAAACCCCTTGTAGAGCCCTGTATCCCAAAACCCCAAAGGCTCAAATCCCAAACCCTACATGTCCCGTAGTTTCAGGCAGGCCAAGATACGAGTCCTTCGTCGGACATCCGCTGCACTGCATGGTTCCAGTCAAGGTCATCCTGATTCGGTTTAGGGTTTAGGGTTTAGGGTCCTGCAAGCAGTCGTTGAGCGAACTTGCGTGGGTCTTCGGAACCCCTAAACCCTGAACCCTAAACCCTAAACCCTAAACCCTAAACCCTAAACTTAAAGGAGTCTTTATAAAGAGACCCAAAACAGGATCTGTTTCTTAACCCCAAAGGCCACCCGGCCCAAAAGGCTCCTAGAGTATCCCAACCAAGTACCCTTCATGGGGACCCTCAAGTAGAACCCTGAAGTACCCTTAAAGGGTTTAGGGTTTAGGATTTAGGTTTTAAGGTTTAGGGTTGAGATTTTAGGGTACCAAAGACCCTGAACCCTAAACCCTAAACCCCTGAACCCTAAACCCTAGACCCTAAACCCCTGAACCCTAAACCCTGAACCCTAGACCCTAAACCCCTGAACCCTAAAGCCTAAACCCTAGACCCTAAACCCCTAA